CCCCCCCCCCCCCCCCACACACACACACACACACACACACCACAGTGCACCTAAACACACCTTTAGAAAAAAAATTGTATTGCATGGAGACAAATTGATAGATTGCACCCTATCTTGTGAAATCCTCTGAATCCTCTGAAGAACAGCTCATTTAATTTGTATTAAGGCTAGCATGCATTGCCTAGTCTCCTGTTATAGTTAACAAGGCAAAAATATATCCATTTCCTCTGTACCACGCATTTCAAAGTCTGACATATGTTTTCCATGTTATTTCTCAGTTTTGTTTTAGTTAATTTGCCCAGCATGGCTCAGTTGAACTCTGAGATGAACTCTCAGTGACAAGGCAAAGAGCGCATTCAGAAAAGATGATCCATGGACTTACTGATCCGCAGACTAAATATGGCCCACCCGACATAAAAGCAGAGTCAACTGGTGGACTCCCCGCCTCCGCACGCACCATTTAATGAATTAAAGCATGGCTCCGAGGTTTAATTGCTAGACTCCTACAGGGACTGTGCATTAAGAAGCGGGTAGACTATCAGTGGATTAGTTGACTCTGCTTTAATGTTGGTCGGCCATATTTGATCCGCTGATCTGTTAGGTTCTATTCCCATAGGTTTTAGATCGATCTATCCCCACGGGGAGTCTCACTAGATTACTTTCAGATAATCCGACTTGAATGTCCGTCCCGCCTACTACAAGCTGTAAGGAGGTAATTAACTTTCGTGTCCGCCCGGCTGACAGCTATTTAGCGTGAACCCCCAGGGAGTTAGGTCGATCTAATCTATGAAAATGGGGTGTAAGTCTGCAGATCAACTATCTCTGAATGTCCTCAAAGTTCTCTTGAGGATCATGCAACATCATCTTCTGTTGACAGACATAATAAATGCAGATAGAGATTTTGAAAAACTTATGTATATCATAGCTAGATGTATAGTAATTTTCATAAACTTATCATTTGTGCACTGTTGATTTATTCATTTTTCCAGACTGCCCTGCAGGCACCTATGGTCAGAATTGTGCCAGCAAATGTCAGTGCACGACATCTACAACACAGAAGTGTGATGTGGTCAATGGCACCTGTCTGTGCAAAGATGGCTGGGGCGGACCTTTCTGTGCTCAAGGTATGGGAACTGCACATGGTGTGTGTGTGTGTGTGTGTGTGTATGCGCACGTGTGTGCACACATGTGTGTGTGCATGTGCACATGTGTGTGTGTGTCACAGTTGAGCTGCAATTCCAGGAATTTAGTCAGTTTGTCCATGTGAAATAGCAATATATTGAAATATGCAAAAAGCTTCACTGCTAATCTCTGACTTAAAGATTTTTTTCCAAACAGTCTTTCGATCATCCTTTTTAGATTGAGAAGCATATGACTACAATGCTTCAATGCATATTACATTTTGTCAAACCTAGTTTATTATGGATTATTATTATGATATGATATTAAATGGAAAACATTTTCATGCTTCTGAAGTTTGTGGCATAGTGGCAGTAGTTGTCTTGGGGAACATTTTAGAATATGTGTTTATTTTTCCTTGAAGAATCTGCATTAACTATAGGTGGATGAAAGGTATTTTTGGAAGAAAAATAAATAAATATCATTAAAGTAAAATTGCTGTCTGGTGTGTCTTGGTGAATATTTTATATTGTATATCTTGATATTTTTTTTCAGAATCAGCTTCCTCAGCCATGGAAGAAGTGCAGGAAGCTGTGACAGAGAGCACTTTGATAGGAGTAATAGTGGGTGTGGTTTTCTTGGTAATTCTGATTCTTGTTGTCATTTTTGTGGTGTGCTTTATTCAAAAGAGGAAAAGAAAGAAAAAGTCACCTCATGATACAAGGTAACTTGGTTGTGATGTTTTGTGTTGTGATATTGTACATAGATTTTAAAAAAATGTTATACTTATTCTTGCAGACACATTGTTATTTGAATTAAAAAAATTATAAAAGGATAGTTTCATATATTTATGCAGACAGTCACATTTTAATCAAAAATGAAAGGAATGTTTGCATTATTTATGCATACAGTCGCATTTTATTTGAATTCAACAAATATTTTACATATTTATGTAGATAGTTGAATGTAGAAGCCATTCTGATCTTGAAAAGCTGTATAGGCCTTAATTGCTGATGAATTTGTATTTGTAGTTAACTAAGTGTCTAACATGTTGACTGTGCACACTTTGATTGTGACTGTGGTATATTTTGGTCCTTGTCATGTTGTAAAATTTCTGTATAACGCAGGTCAGCAGACAGTGGCCACGAGCTGACACCGTTTCCAGGACAAGTTCAAGAACCTGAAGGTTTGTATGTCCTGAAGTGGATGGCTAGTTTATTTCTCTAAGAAAAAAGTAAAAGAAAATCGATCAAAATATATTATCTCCGAGATGATTATGGTGTTATAACAGAAACATTCTTCTTCTATTGCTGGCAGCAAGTTGAAAGTTTGAGTGAATAAATAGACGGAAATGTAAATATAATTACCAAGTGTTATAAAACTGGAATGGCATTTTATAACTCCAGACAAAGACAATTTTTCAAGAAGTAGAAATACTGATTTTTTGTATTCATGATTAAACATTCAACCTATTTCGTTCTTCAGATGAACAAAGATATGCAGAACCAGATGTAATAACAGATGCCAGGCCTAGAAAGGCAGTAGGAAATGCAGAGTATGAATATGTTAGCAATGTTAATCCAAAACTTACAAGCAGTCCCAGTTCCCAGGAATCTCCCAATATTAGAGCCAGGAGACGACCACCCTGTGCTGCCCCTGTGAGTCTGAAATCCCCACCTAAATTTAGAGTTGTAACTACAGAACCTTGTCTTCAGGGAAAAGAAACTGAGCAAAGTGAGGAGAAAATTTTTCCAAATATGTCATATTTTATGGCTCCTGAATCTGTGATATCAGGCATTCGTAATACTGAAAAAGAAGACAGTGGGCATATGCCAGATAGTTCAACACAAGCAGGTCCCCATGAATATTCTGAAATTATGGGTGAGGAAATGAAGGGTAAAAAAGATAACACTTTGCCACCTGCAGTTACAGCCTGTGATAGCCATGAGGAATATGATGTGATAAGACTTTCTGCAATAAACCCTACAGCAAAAGACAAGATGCAGCCGACAGTTGCATTAAATGCATATGGTGGTAAGGACGATCTTGAGAAGTCCACAGTCCCTGATGTGGATGTTGGAAGTGAATACAGTAAGCTGGACCACACAGGTCTTTCCTTTAAGAGACAGATGTCAGGGAATGTGTATGGACATCTGTCGGCAAATGACAGTGGAGGTGCATATTCCAGTGTAGAATCGGTTGAAAACAAGTATGACACTCTAGTTCATGTGGGGAACAGACACAAGAAGAAAGTTTTGTCAGGCTCGGAATATGATGCTCTGGAACCTCTCAAAAATTCAGAAATGCAAATTTAAGAAAAGTGGTAATGGTGGGATGTGTAGTGCTGAGATGGGTTGGGAGGGGATTTTAGATCTGCCAGTATTCACAGAAAGCCTTTTACATCAGCTGCTAAAATTTTAATATGCCATAGTTAGATATAGTTAACACATTGGGTATTCGGGATAGATAGTTATACTAATGTTGAATTGATAAATCATAACGGGGGGGGAGGGGGGGGGGGGGAGGATCTGACTTCTAAAAAAGTTTTTGTGTGGACTGTCTTCACCAGGGACATGTTTTGCCAAACCAGTAAAGGGAAGAATCAGTATAAGCAATAATTGCCAAGAATTTTAGCTGACAGACTTGCCTCTAACAGCGAATCTAAAAGGCCACTTTTAGGGCCCTAGAGTAAATTGTGTCATGAAAATGAAATTTACTCTCAGCAGTGACAGAGGACATGTTATTTTGTGTAATTTTGATACATTTTTACACCAATATCTTAAAGAGATGTAGAATCATTATGAATGTCTGTTCTAAGGTCAAGGGGTTTATAGGAAAAGTTAATAAGTCACTTTGTTTTAATTGTGCATTTGTAATATTTAAGTGGACAGCAATTGCTCTACAATTTAATCTTTTGCCTGTTTTTTTCCTTCTTTTGGTTTGGTGTTATTTATTTTAGATATGAAGTGTACAAAAAAAGGGGGTATAAATATGGCGCAAGATCATATATGTGATCAGACACAGGAAGAAAGTTTAGACTTGCTTCATTTATTAAGTTCTGGCTTGTAATGTTTTAATTAGACAGTGAAACATGCTCAACTTTTCAACTTTCGCCTAATGGTGTTGGGGCTTGGTGCTAATTTTAATTAAAAAAAAAAATACAGTTTCTACACTGTTTTATGTGCAGCTACCTCTCTGTAGGTGAGGTTAATATGAAATGGTAGTTCATTTCCAGTTATGTTGTACAGGTGATTTTTGTCCATTATACTAACACTGACATTTCCAGCTAACCTTAACTTGTACTAATCCTAAGGAGCCCTGGACTTCAATTGCTGGGGCTACCATTCCAAACCATCTTTAACCATTATAAATAACAATTATATTCCAACTCCATATTTTGCTATGGCGCTGAGCTTAAAAGATACAAATTTTTGATTATGGGTGAGGTTGGATTGAAAAATATGTAATGTTAGTGGTAATAAAGTGAATATATTTTATGCATTTAAGTATATTTAGTGGGCAGAAAATGTTTTATGCTGCTAATTTTATACATAATGCTTGCGGTAATAACAGAAGTGAAATCCTGGCAGAATGATAAGTACCTCTTTTTATCTATTATTGCTTTGATACAATATTTTTGGACTTTTTATATAACTATTTACTTAATTTTCATTGTGAGTGTAAAATTATGGCTTCCAATATTACTTGTTAAGGGCTTTTTATGTTTAAGCAAATATAGAGAAATGTGTATGATTGTCCTACATGGTACATTTGTGGTGACTTTGTGCTATTGAAGTCTTAGTATTTCTTGTAATCTCAATGTGTTCTTAAGAGTCAAATTTGAATGTGAAATGCAAGTGGTCACAAATCGTGCAAAATTTTAATGTTTACACCCATTATTAGACTTTTAAATACAAATCAATAAATGCATTTGTCTTAGTGCATGTCTGATGTTTTAAAAGTATTTTATATATTTTGGTAAACTATATTTGAAACTTTCATTTAACTAGATACCAAATTTTAGAAAACATTTGCAGCAAAGGGTTTTCGTCACTTAGCTCAAGCACTCCATATTTCACCCTTTCACAAATCGACATTATCAGCAGAGGGCTGCCATTTTGGGTTATCATTGGGGATGGAGAGTACTTTGCGCATCACTACATTAATCATCTCTGTGCCCAGAAATAGTTTTGGCAGATTAATAGATCAAAAGTATCATCATTCCATGTCTTAAAAGTTCTGTAGATTATGGGTTTTTCTAGCGAAAAAATGTATACAGATACCAGAGTGAGGTGTAGCATCCCCCCCCCCCACTCTTGNCATCTGTGTCTGTACATAAAAAAAAGAATTATATATCATAATACACAAACACAAGTGATTGCTGATACCGTTTATTGGTGTGCATCCCTCGGGATAAATGCAAATTGAGGAAAAAAATAGAATTTTACACAATTTGTCAATAGTTCTGTGCCCATATGCTACATTGCTTTCTTGATCATATGAAAATATTTTCCTCCTCTACAGAAATTTATATGTAATGATAAAACTGCCTAATAATTGATTTCTATTCACATGAATATACATTAAAATTTATAGAACTGAAGGCTACAAATACAGTACAGCATACATATGATTATATTTGAATATTGCTTCTTTCTGGCAATGATATGTCCATCAATTTGGGGGGAAAAAGTAATTTAGAAGAAATGTAAGGTCATTGCACAATACTGGATACTTAAAAATGGCTGCCCCCTTTTTCTTGACATCCTCTAAATAGAAGAGATGAGTTAAAACATAAACCAGGGTGCAAAAGAATTCCATCAAATTCCCCCCATTGTCTTTAAATGCTCCAGATTAACCAACCTCTGAATTGCTTTGATCCCCAATGAACTTGAATCTTTTGAATGGTTCAAAATTATATCAGTGAATGTGAAATTATTCTATGGCATATGAATTTTTCTATAGCATTACTGCTTTGATTAATTGTAAAGATGAATGCAAAATGATTGCCACAAATAACATAAATTGTTTGCAATATTCTTAGGTTAGTCTCACAAACTGTTACAATGAAGTCTTTTAAATAAGCATATTTGTTTCCTTTTTTATCTCCTTGAAATAAAATTGATATAATTCAGCTCTATTTGGGAAGCACTTGTTAATGATATTACATAGTATTGCATGGAGCGCATTATAGTCCCCTTATTTCCTTCAAACACTCTCCTATCCATGCGAATGATTGTAAAAGCAGTATTTACAAAACCTATGGACACAAGCGTGACCTCTGCATACAGGAGTTGTTGCCATGAATCTTGCTTGTTACTCATCATCAGATAACCATCCATTTCTTCTGAAGTGATACAGGTTCAGTTTCAAAATCATTACTTTCCTTTTCTTTAATATTCCCAATACTTCTGTACACATTACATTATTTGCAATAATATTATTAATGCTTGTCAATGGACAATGCCAATGGATACAAGGACCTAAGGTTACAAACAAGCATCACTTTTTGTACTCAAAATGAACATCAAGGCAAAACTAAAGCTATACAAATTACATGCAAAAGATTGCTAAATGTATTTTGGCAAGGAATGTTTATGTAGAAGCTGTTGAATAATTGCCCTACAAAGCACAGTGCATATTTACAGCTAAGTAAAATAAAATCAATTTATTTTTAGTTCTCTCTATAACTATCATAATTCTAGATTACAAATTATCATTTTCTTTAAAGAAGCTCCTCTGCAGGAAAGGGGAGAACCAACCACTTCAAGAGTAGAACTGATTGCTTTAAACACCATTTCACATGCAGAAAAAACGCATCCAAATCTTTATCGATGTTTCAATAAAAATTCCATCTGAAGTCCGAGATCTTTCAAAATACAAATGAATTGCAAATCAAGCACTGAAGAAAATAAGAAAAATATTTTTCCTTAATGTCTACAACAAACATGCATATAGGACCAACTGACCACTAATGTACCGTCTTGTTTCATGGATGCACTGTGCTGCCATCTAGTAGCCAGGAAAGGACATCCTGGGCTTGCATACCAGCCCTAACAAAAAAAAGGGGCCACAGTAAATTTTGCATTTAAGAATGGCTAATGCTGCCATTTTTTCTTGCATACTGGTGTAGACAGAAGGTAATGAAAATTTTAAAAATCCCATACTTACAAGACTGAATTTCCCTTAGCACTCTTTCTTTACATAATAGATCTTAAAAAGAAATTATACTTCTTTTTTCAAAATGCACCTTGATGTGGTGCTAGTACATAAGAAATATCAATATCCAATATATCAGCAGTTAATTAAATGAATAATGTTTCACAGGTATTTTTATACAACTATTTCATACTTAAAACAAAAAGGTGATATCTTGCACTGTAGATATGAACACTTTACAGATCCCAAGCTAAAATCAAATGGGTAACATAACAAACATGCCTAGCAACATTTTGTCTTGACAAGGCATACTATCATTTTTCTTGAAAATACATCATAGAATTTGAACAACCATACACAGTCTTAAAATTTAAACAATTTCAAGCACCAATACCAAAGATGGTGCTTTATAAGACCCCTGTCGCAACAGCCAATTTCTTATTTGATCTCAGCAACTGGCAACAATGGAGAGGGAACAGAAATAGTGGATGGAATGCTGGAGAACTCAATTTAACATAGACCTGGCTGTAAAATGTGGATAAGACAGGGTAAAAAGACACATTGATGACACTGTAAACTGGTTTTGCCAGAAAAAAAAAAAATCCCAGTTTCTGCTGGTATGGCACAAACTTCTCCAAATCTTCTAACCCGGAAAACTATATTATACTCAGGTACAAAGATGACTTCTGTGGTGATACACAAATGGTTTACAGACATCAACAGTTCAGCAACTTCCTGACTCTGTTCTCACCATATACCAATGTTATGCAAGATGTACTGATGAAGGAACTATGTACATATAATGACTCTAATGTTGTATCTCTGGCAGTAGGTTAAATGCTGCAGTTGGTCTTGTCTTTCCTATTCCCCCAGCCCCCCACTGTCAGTCAACTATGTTGCAGCCTGCTGAGCATGTTCCTCGGCTGGTGCTGAAGATGTGTCAGTATGGACCTCTTGCTTAATCTCAAGCCTCTGATCAGACTGGCTCCCAATGTTTTCACTTAAAGGTTGCTGTTGTTGCTGTTGTGGTTGTTGTTGTTGTGGTTGTTGCTGTTGCACTGGTATCATCGGAAGGGACACAGCAGGCAGCTCAGTCTTCAAGGTCACTGGTAATGGCTGCTCCTCTGCTACCATTGCAATGGGCACAGGGTCAGAAATGGGGACTGGTACTGCTGCTTCTGAGGCTGCTGTGATAAGTTGCTGCTGTTGCTGGTCTTGTTGTTGTTGCTGGAGTTCCAGTGCCTCAATGGAGAACAATTCCTTGTGTAAGGCTGGGAATTCCATCCCTGGCGCTGATTGCTTGAATCTGTTGAGAATGTCGATATGCTGCGCACTTAAGGCTCGGAGTGTAGGCACTTTCTCAAGTAATGAGGCCTTAAATTGTTCATCCTCGGGATGGTTCTGGGTGATTTCCTGTTTAAGGGCAGCTAGAATCCTTTCCTGTAACTTGTGCACCTGATCAGCTTCCTTCACGCCTGGACGATCTGTGATAAAAGATCGATAAAATGTTGTATTTTATAAACAGATTTTTGAATCCATAGAGCTTCATGAAATTAAGGCCATGAAAACTGAAGAATGAAGTTTTTTTCTTTGAAAACCAAAAACAAATAGATTTTTTGAAGTTAGATTTTTGTAAAAAAATTCTTCAATTCGTATACCATTTTCAGTTAGGGAACAAATTCTTTTCAACTACAGATTGACTTTTGAATGACCAAAAAGTGTGAACAAGCTCATCTAGCATATGAACTAGTCAAAGCAATCTAAAACCTTTCCAATTTGGAGTTTACAGCTGCATTTCAAACACAATTATTCATAAGGTACTCATGGATAACTGATATTTGCAAAAAGTGTGACGAGAGCCCGAGAGATGTGTGATGTTGAGATGTATTCTATGTCTACTACTTACTGTCCTCCAGATCCCTACCTGCACTGACCAGGACAGCAGCACAGATCAGAGCCAGTTCATTGTCTGTCACATTCAATGCTATCATATCATTGGCAAAGTTGAATATTTGGTCCTTCAGGGCATTCTCTTCTTCATCTGATAGAACATATAGAAAACAGTCAGTGAGAAATAGCTCAGCATAAGGCGATTTCATAACTTCAAGATTTTTGTGTCTTATTTATCAAATTGTAGTTGATTCAGATGAAGTCTGACTGAAAGCAGATGTTGGATGGTAAAGTAACAGTTGATTTCTCAAGCAAATGACAAAAGAAACATTGTATCTGATACATTATCAAGACTCCTTACGAATATATTCACAAATATGTACTTAAAATCATTGTAAACATAGCATTAGCATGACTATGACAAACCTTGGTGTTCATAAATATCAAATTATTTTATCTAAATCATCTTGTCTGTGATAATTCATGACATCAACATATAAACTTTTGAACTGTGCTCTTTTGACTTCTTGTTAAACCATTCCAAAAAAGCAAATCAATTTCTTCATTTTTTAAGAATGCTAAAACACATTTTACATCTACATAAAAATAAGAGGGATTTACTTAGTGTTGCAAAAGCTTCTAGAGGCACAAAACAGGATCCGAAGAGGACAGAGTTTGTACTGGGATCAAAGGCCCTACATAACCTCAACAAGGCCAGCTCAAAACTTCCTGGAAGAACCAATAAAAACAAATGTTATAAATCAATTTTTATCTAAATAAGTGAACAAATGATAATCAGAGTTTCAAGTGTTTAATGATAAATGTATATAAAAAAATTTCTGTTTTAATGTTTTGAAATAAAAGAATAAGTTAGAACATTTGTAACATTGATACTTCACCACCAATTAATGTATATATCTGTTAACAGAAATATATCCAATACAGGATTACAATATCAAATATCAATAAGACTTTTAAAAAATCTAAAAATTTCCAAAATTTTCTTTTGAAATTCAAATAATGCCACAGCTAATTTCAAATGTTCAATTCAGTTTTCTGCACACAAAACCCACCATGGTTTAGTCTCTAAAAGGGGCGATCCATGTTAGCTATCTTAATATAATAGCTTCATTCTTTATAATGATGTGCTAAATATCTGCACTATGATACTTGCAAAAAATTACAGAAAACAGGTGAGTTCATCTTTTCTGTGAGTGTTTAGAGTAATAACATAACACCCAGATCCAAAGAGAAGCAATACTGCAAATCTGTGTGGAATAAATGTTTAAGCATACAATTGGAAACTAAGCTTCAATGAAACACAATACCAGCATACACTAGATTATTCAAAGAAATCTGATCAGTCATATNAT